AAATCTCATAAAATTTTGCACATTTCAAAAATGCTAGTGCGTGATATTACATTACAACTCCTTTGACTATACAGCTCTTGTAAAAGAAAAAATTGGGGGTGTATGTTCGGGTCTACAATACAAAATAAGTAATATTATTACTTAAATAAGAATATTTTTTAAACTTTTTTTTTTTTGTTACAAGCGTCTAGAGATGCGTGCAAAGAAATTTGGGACACAATTACCATCTGATATGAGAAAGAATTACGGGCACAAAGATTTGGGCTGAACAATTCTAAGTCAATAGCAAAGAGTGAGGTAAGAATTGATTTAAGTTAAATATGACCTTTTAACAAATATATAGAATAATCTCTTGTGTTTATATTTATGATTTGAAATTAATTTAAAAAAAAAATAAGAATGATAATATTATTAAAGAACTTTTTAGGCATATGTGCATTATATTTAACTTTGTAAACAGAAGTATGTATTTACCCTTAAAAATCCGATTTGCAATTTTTATATTTTGATGTTTCAAATTATTTTACCACTATCTCAAATACTTGTGTGCGTATGGGAGGCAAATTCTTTTCGTTTCCAATAACAATTGTTATTCACAGAGCAGCATCTTCCAAACATATATTTTTTTTAAATAATCAATTGATATCAAGGTAATATCATTTTCGGCATAATTTTCACACTCTTTGTGTCTTAAGGGGTTAGGGGTACTTGGAGGTACGAAAAAATGAGAATTTTCAGTATTGTTTTTTGTTATTAAACGATGTTTTTTATAAAATATTAATACGGCATCATTATACAATGTTTTGACTTGAAGTATCAAAAATTCAGAAAAAAAATTAATATTCCCAAAGTTATAGCTGTTTTTGTTGACCCTGTTTCAAAAAACGGTCCTGGCGGTGACCATCATAACTCCTTAGAGATTCATCTAAAATCAATCAAATAAAAAAAAAAAGTTTTATAAATAGATAATCCTGGGCCTGATCGAAGGTTTTCTTTTTCTTTTTCAAAAATTAACAAAATGGCAGCATCAGAAATAAAATTTCTAGATTTTTGGATAAAAAATCAACAGTTAATTGGTCTTAAAAAATTTAAATTTTTGAAAAAATAAAAATCCTTCGATCAGGCCCGAGTTTATTATGTATTCTAAAAGCTGTATAAATTTCATTAAAATTTACTAAGCGGTTTTTGAGTTACAGTGGTCACCGGTTCAAAAAACATAGTTTTGAGAAAAACGCGTTTAAAGTTTCACATTGGATTTACGTACAGAAATTCGAATTATTGAATTACTTAAACCGAGTCATCTATTTCTGGGCCTTATAATAGTTCATCAGTCATTATGTAATTTTCCAAAATTTCCATTTGCTGTTGCCTAGAAGCATTCTGGCCTCCCGAGGTATTCTCGTTGGCGCGCTGATCTGCCACTTTCACACGTGCAGCATCCAATTTTTTAGCATGCCAATGGGAATTATACCCACAATTAGGTCCTAGGGTATCCATAATCAATAATAATGATTATGTATATGCATTCAGCCATTTGTACGATAGTAGAACTAGTATTCACGGTTTTTAGGCATATTGTTTACACTAGTTGGTTAAAGCTTTTAATTTTCCTGATTATGGAAAATATTATTCAATCTTGAACTACACATCTTGAAAGTAAATTATTATTGCTGAGATCGTTGTAAATCGGTTTATAAGCTTTTAAAACATCAGAAGGTGAGGGAGAATAATCTTGAGTATAAGTATCGAGCTCTCCACTTGCGTCAACGCGCTGGTAAGAGTCCAATAACTCAAAAAGTAATCATCGGATCGATAAAAATAAAAAGCGATTTTCAAAAATTCCAAGTACCCTAGCCCCTTAAGCAACTTTGACATTATTTGCAATAGTAACAAATTAATATTTAAGATATTTGTGTCAATATCTGTATGCATAAGGAATATTTTAAACAGTCATCAAGTATATATTTTGGAAAACTTGAGAATGCTCTCTTTCGATTTTCATTAAGTTTCATTTGCAATAAATCAACAAGGACTCTGTGTAGTATTGTCAAATTTAGTTGAATAATTCGCCAAAAAAAAAAACGCAGAAACTTACGGTCATATAATTCATTCACTATTTTTTTAAAGTATGCTAAATTTTTTACAAAATTTTGACTCAATGCTCCCAATAATTAACTTACGATAGGGTAAGTTTCAAAGGCTTTTAAACATTCTGGCATATCTTAGAAGAAATAGTATGTGTGGCGTGTGTGTGTATATGTGTATGTTTCCATGCAATTTTTCGTTCACGATTTCGGGCGAACGCATCAACCGATTTAAATGATTCAAAAAACATTCGAATCGTATTAATGGGGAGAAGTGCTAAATTTATAATATTATTTTTTCTATCTTTTATAGGATGCAACCCTTGAAGTTTTAAAAAAGCGAGCGGAGAGGTTTGGAAGCTCTGTTTCGAAGAAACTTTCGGAGGCCGAGGCTAAAGAAAAGCTTGAGAAAAGGAAAGAACGATTCGGTTCAATTCAGAATACTAATGTAACAACATCATCAACTGATGTTAAAATAAAGCCTACAATGACAAATGCTGAAAAAGCCCAGCTACGGTTGAAGAGATTTAATATGGGAGTCAAGTAAAAACAATACCTTTTTTTTTAATTGTTTAACATCAGAAAATATATGTATTATTAGTTTTTTTTAAATATCGAACGTTTTTTAAAGTCCCAACTAATGCATGTGTTATAAATTGAGTGTTTTTTGCACCATATTGAATTACTATTTTTATAACTTTGTTATGGATATTTTTAATGATAAATGAATGAAAGATTGTATTAATGTAATTTATATATTATATAAATATGCTCGGTATTTGTGATGATTGATGATAACGCACTGAATAAATTTTCACTTGAAGTTTTTTTAAATAAACATTTATAATTTATTACATACCAATATGAAGTAAAAAAAATGTAAATATTGAGTTGAAACATTGACTGACATTCTGAAAGTTAGGTAATTCACATTTTTCCCTTTTATTCTATCTCACTTTTTGTCATAACCATAATCATATTCAGTCAGGTCTGGATTGCATTATTTATAACAACCAAGATTAAAAAACTCGCATTTGATTATAAGTTTGTTATTAATTTCAGTCCAGTTTTTATTTATCATCATTAATGATTGAAATCCTATAAATAATCATAAATTAATCGACCAAAGTTATATCACAATATATACTTTATATATATTTCATCTCATATTCTTCGGATCTAAAGATTTGAACTATTTTAAATGGCAAATAAAATAATAATCAAATATCAATTATTTAAAACTTTTTAGTTCAAGAATAAATTTAACTAAAAGTTATATATTAAAATTTCAGTCTGTTAGGTCTATTAAAAATTAATACATTTTAATTCCATAAATGTGAACTTCTTCATATTATTGTGGTTATTAATAGCAATTTAATAAAATCAAGCCAATTAATTATTTACATCACTTTGTACATTTGGCATAACTTGCATTGTTTCTAGAATTGTTATTGATTCTCTGTTAAAAATATTTTGATGATAAAATTTTCTGAAAGTTCCTTTCAACGCCTGATGAACTTCCTGGTTGAGAAAGCAGAACAAGCATGAAACGCATATTCCCTAAAACATAAAAAATAAATTATTAACTTATATTTTGATATGAAGAAAACAATATAATAAAAATTGAATAGAGCAGTAGTATAATAATATGAATAAGCAAAATATTGTTTTGTAATTTTTTCTGCATATCAAGTAGCATAAAATAAATTAGGCCAAGTTTGTTCTAGGTTTTTCAATAAGTTTATTAACTTCTCGTTGGGTAAGTTATAGCAATCGCAAAAAAAAACGAGAATGAAAATTTTTATATCTTCATTACGTTTCAAAGGTTTCTGAAAATTTTGGCATAGCTTAAACACGATAGTTATATCTGTGTGTGTGTGTGTGTGTGCATTCAGCCGATTTGAATAATTCAAAAAACATTCGATTTGTATTAACCGGTAGACGTGCTGATTACTTTTTGATAATTGCAGGTCAGCTGTTTTGAAGGCTTAGGGCAAAAAGTGATACAAATGGTAATTTAGTATCATTATTCAAAAAACAATTTACTTGTATTGACAAAACGAAGAACTGATAACATTTTAGGGAAGGCAAGTCTAGCGGTTATCAACAGTAATCAACTGTTACCAAATGTTTTTTGAATAATTGAAATCGGTTGAACCGTGTTCCCGAAATCATCGACGAAAATTTGTATCCGCGCACATACACACATACACACATACCCACACACATCATACATCTATTTTTTCTAAGATATGCCAAAATGTTCAGAAACCTCTGAAACGTAAAGATATATAAAAAAAATTATTTTCGATTTTTTTGCGATTGCTATAACTTACCATACGGGAAGTTAATTATAATAACTTGGGTAAAAAACATATATCGCCAACACATTGCAATTCACCATATACAATGAAACACATGTTTTTAAGTGAAATTGAATTGAAGAAATGCATATATATGTATTATAACAAACCTGTGAGCTTAATAATACAGACGAAACTATTTGATAAATCACTTCTGCAAACGTTCCAGTATTTGGTCTGAATGGAATGAGTAAATGCTGCAATCCAAATAGTGGAATCTGAAAACATCAAAAACGCATAATCAGGATTTGCAATTTAATAATTTCTTTCTGAATGCGATTTACGATACAATTTAATTAAGAAATTGAAATTACTTTTACATCGATAAAAATAATAACTGCATACAGGGCCGTGCCTGGGTATGTGGCCGCCTGTGTGCGAGCATATAAATGGCCGCCCTTAAACATAGAATAATAGGAAAATATCCAATATGTTCTCACAAAAAATGCGACTAGTAATTTGCATGTTTTCTCGACATTTCAAGTCATTCTGAATCGTTTGAGACCAAATTTTAAAAAAACGTGTATATGAGCCGATTTTTTTACTTTTCGCCAACGTTTTCTCAAAAACGAATTGAAATTGAATTGGATATTCAAAAGTTTAAAAGTCATTTGATGTAACTAATAATGACTAGCGTCTTTCAGTTTTGTGCGACGATCGGCCAAGCTGTTTCTAATCAACAGAACAATATAAAAATTTTCGTACACGTTTTAGCCAAAAATTCTGCATCGATTTTAAAAATTCAGAAACTGTTTGAAAGATATCATTTAGGAATCGTGCTGATTAGTTCTGAGAGATCGATCGGGTCGTTTCTTCGTGTTTAATTTTGAAATATTGCTTCACAATGATATTTATAAAACTTTCTTGGCGATAGTGATCATGGTCTCAAAAATAACTAATATTTCGAGTTTTCGAAATATTTAGTCATTTTAATTTTTAAATACTATCAAATACTTTTTTACGTGAGTCAAAATTTCATTTTAGTCGACGTTTTCTTAAAAATGCACAATTCTATTTGAAAAATCATTGAAATTCGCAAATTCCATAAGTACTCGTGCTGGTTAGTTTTGCCTCACGATCGGCCGAGCCGTTTCTTTAGAATTTTCAAAAAGTCTAAATTTTTCGTCCGCGTTATAGCCTACATTCGTGAATCGATTTTGAAAATTTAAAAACCATTGCAAACGTTCTATTTGAGAATCGTGCTTAAATTTTGTCAATAATCGACCAGTCGTTTCTCAGTTATTGATTAACAAATTGCTTTGGAAATTTGAATCATGTTTTTAATTTACTACAGTTTGCTCCTGTTCAATAGTATGTAATTTTTAAACTATTTATAAACTAGCTGTAAGTGGAATTCTGTCTTGAGGCAATTATGGCATCGTGCCTTAAGGCAAATTGCTGGAACTTCCCGTACCGTAACGAAATGTTCGAGGAATACTGAATGTTTTCAAATAGATTATTATAAATATTGTAACATTGTCTAATATTTATAAGAATTATATAAACTGAATTGCAAAGTTGAAATTATTTGTAAAGTATATTAGAACTATTGTCAGAATTAAAAATAAAATCTGAATTATTTTCGATATACAAAAAACTAAAAAAAAAAAATAGGAAAAAAAAATTGGAACAAACGGTTAAGACAAGCAGAAAGTTCTTTGAATCAATTGAATCTGACGCTTAGTTCTCTCAAAAACTGCCATTTTTTACATATTTAGCTCCGTATCTTCAAAATGGCTGGGCCTGCCTTTGCCAAAAACTAATAAACACTACTCCCAATCATTACTAATTGAATGTTCTTTAGATCATTCAAATCGGATACTCCGTTCTCTCAAAAATTCGATTTCTATTTTCTGCACTCTTTGCTCGTTATCTCCGTACCTGCTGGACCTGCCTCTACCAAAAACTAATCAGCTCTTTTCCTTATCAATAGGAATCGAATGTTTTTTAAACCATTCAAACCGGTTGATCCGTACGCCCGAATACATACACACACACACACACACACACCACATCCATTTTTTCTGAGGTATGCCAAAATGTTCAGAAACCTTCAAAACGTCGAGAAATGTAAAAATTTTCAATTCCGATTTTCGGCCCATTACAATACTTATCCTACGGGAAGTTAAAAATAACTAACATGTTTAGAAAATTTGTACAAAATGGAATAATCTGCGATAGTTTTCACATTGCAATGTACCCATGAATCAATATATTTTTTATAGTTAAGTCGATTATTTACACATGCTGTATAGTTCATGCAACTTGCTTTACAGCAAAGTTGCCACTTATACCAAGTTTATACACTTATAAATTATTTGGAAACAGAGCCGCATTCAATACGACCGCCTTTGGCTGATTTTTACTACGGTACTTTGGTCTTTTAAATTTATAAAGCGGACTTTACGGCAGCGACTGAAGTCAGCGGACTTTGAGTTTGGCCGTCTCTTAATCCAGCAGTCTTAATTTGGCCGCATTTTAATTCAGTGGACTTTTAATGCGACAGCTATTTATTATGACCACTTTTTGTTATGGCCGCTTTTAAATTTGTTGTTTTTTCATTTGGCCGCCCCACGGCCGCCTCAAAAGGCCAGACACGGCCCTGACTGCATAGTGTATAGAAAACATGGCTAGACTATATTTTACATTGCTCCGCCGGTGCGATTTTTGATATAAGTACTTATCGTAATAAATTAAATCCTTAGACGTAATAAAATTGCATAGTATTAAATAAAATAATATAATAAATATTATATAAAATGGTGAGGAAGTTAAAATCACAACTATTATTATGGAATAAGAATAGTTACATTATTATTAATAATGCTATCTCTTTAACTCTATTTCTTTGGTACATCAAATTAAATTAAGTAATCAGTAACAGCAAAAATTAAATAGTATAAAAAAATCTCAGAAAAAAATCGCGTTTATGATCAAAGCTATATCAAGACTTGCCATGGATGAAGATAGAATTCCTAATAGAGTATGATTTTTAATGAATAATGCCCAATTTCAAAATGAATACCCAATATTTTTAGATCAATAAAAAAACTCCATGGAAACATTTTAGTGTTTACAACACTATCTTAAATCTCATAGAAAATTGAGACTAAGATGAAATTTTTGAATTAATGTTGAGTAATTTTTTTCTTTTTTTTGTTAATTATAATAATGTGTATAAATA